GTTGTACGCTTATATACTCCGGAGAGTTGCTAGATGTTGATTTAAATGAATTCTCTGTAATTTTTCCGTAAAAAATAATTAATGTATTTCATGCCTCTACTGACAGAGTGATGTGGGCAAGCACAGGGGGTAAGAAAAAAGGTCACTTTGTCCATATTTGTTAGTATTTCCCTACCAAACTCTGTTACAATCCAGGGCAGTGTTACCAAATTCCTGATTTATTATTATTGATATTAATATTATTATTATTTTATTGAACTAATAAGAAGTGACAGTCTGATTAACCTTTGTCCATATCAATATCATCAGTCATTGATTGGCTCTTACATTATGTAAAGTCATCTACAGGATTAGGAAAGGGCGGAGGGGAATACTGCAGTAAATTCAATTTTGGTGATAATATGATCATCAAATCTAATTTTTGGTTGCCAAATAGCAGTAGCAGTTGGTAAAGGTTGCAAAATGTGAATTCACCAAATGTGGGACTTTACCGAATAAGAAAGATGTCCTACGTTTAAATCTACAACAGGCATCTTTAAATCTTTAAATTTTTATCATGATTCTTACCTTCTTCTTACTATTATATCTATTCTATACTATATTATATATATATTATATTCTTTACTAATTACTATATAATATATTATCTCTCTCTCTCCTCTCTCTCTCTCTCTCTCACTCTCTCTCTCAATATATATTACTCATAATATATATATATCAATCTTTATATTTATATACATATAAATATATAAATATTATATTCATCTATCAATGTTATCATTCATACTTTCTGGCTGTGTGTGCATGTGGATAGATGCGAGTGGATGGATTGAATAGCTAGATAACATAAATGGATGATCTATACTATAATATTATATAATATATATCTATTCTCTCTAATATCTCTATATTATACTTTTACATTATTAATATCTCTATCTATCATTATCTATCTATATATACTATCACTATTCATATATATATATTATCTCGTATTACTTATATTATATCAAAATTCTCATCTGCTATATATGTCTATCTCTCTCTACTCTATATATATATATATAATCTATATATTACTTTTATCTAATATCTCTATATCTATTCTATATATATCATATATATATATATCTTATAATGTATATATATGTATATTACTATATATATACATTTTTACTCTACTTCACTATACTATCTCTCTCTATCATTCATTACATTCTTCAATCTCTATCTATAATACTCTCTTTATCATATTCTTATCTTCTTGCTCTTCATCTATCTATATGTTACCTTACTCTCTCCTCACTGGTTTAATCATTTACTCATAGTCATTGTATATATTACTATCTATCTATCTAGACTTATATATCATATCATATACTATTCATATCTCTCTATATCTTCTCACACGATATTTATCTTAATCTCCACATATAATATCAACAATATATACCACATATTCACATATACACTAGACATAGAATCTCACTAACGACATATGCATCATAACATAGACATTATGACATAGACATAGACATAGACATATACCATAGAAATATGACATAGACATAGTCATCTCTATCGAACATATGCACATAACATAGACATTCATACATTATTACATCTACTACATAACAGTATACATATACAATACATATACTCTCACTCATACATATACATATATCATATACAATATACATATACATATACATATACATATACATATACATATATATACTATACATATATATATATCTATATATATTATATATATATAATTTATATATATATATATATAATAATATATATATTATATAATAAACATAATATAATATGTAATATTGCAGTATGTATGTGTATATAGATGTTTAGTATATGTATATGTGTGTATCTATATCTATGTATATATGTGTGAATGTATATGCATATATATTATATATATATATATTATATATATATATATATATATAATTACGATATAGTATATATATATCATATATATATGTATGTATATATAATATACTACATACATATATATACATATATATATCATATATATATCTATAATAATATATATATATATATATATATATATACATGCATATGTATATGTATATACATATGTATAAATACATATCAGGTGAACCTGTTCAGTCGATATGTGCTTGCAGCGAGGATGTTGAAATTACAGAGAGCTTTACATATCTTGGTAGAGTAGTTCATGTCTCTGTGCTGTCAGACCAGGAAGTCAGTAGACAGATCGGTCTGGCAGCAGGAGCCATGAACTCTCAATCAATGAGAGTATTTGGAGGTGCCCAGTACCTGTGGCAGAAGGACTAAGTTAAAATGTCTTTAAGCCCTTGATACCCGCCAGTTTTTGCTTTATGGAAGTGAAACCTGGACACTATCCAGTGCCTTGGAGTCATGTCTCAATGCTTTTTGTAACAAGTCCCCTACGCCAGATCATGGGTTACAGTTGGCAGGACCATGTGTCCAACCG